TCTTTTTTTTTTTTTTTGGTAATTCAATATCAGAGAAAAGAGGGCCGGGATGATTATTTGTCCTCTGAAAGGGTCCTTTTAAAAGGCAGCTCTGTACTGAAAGGGAGCGTGTTCTCCGTGCACCCATGACGGATTCTTAGGAAGGCACTGACCACACGTACCCATTGTGGGAGGTTGCCCTTCGCACACAGGGCCGACCTGACCCCAGGCCTCCTCAAAGTTCTTTCTCACCTCTCTTGGCTCTGGGGAAACCCTAGATATTTGGAGAAACTATAAGGTATTTGTTGATGATCTTTTCCTCCCAAAGATTCTTGGACTCATATCCCAATGTTGCAGTTTTGGGTCTTACTCTGATCAATTCGAGAAGGTGGAGGTTAGGGTGGTGGGTCATGGGGGACTATTTAGAGTAATGCAGCAGGACCTGAACATCATTTTTTATGACATTTATGGGTTGCTGAAGGAACTTGACTCTTGCTGGACACGAGAACTCCATGCTCTGTCCCCGGGGTTGTCCACAGAATCTGATTCCTGCTCTTACCTGCAGAGGCAAAGCGTCGAGGGCTTTCTTAGCGTGTCGAGCTGATGCTGCGTGTGCTTGACCTGGTACCTTCAAGATCCACTATGTTCTTTTCCTCCTTGGGGCCTTATTTACAAAACAAATTTTGGAACTGCTGCTACACTTCGGCACAGCACTGGCTCTGCCCTGGGGTCCAGAAATGGAAGGCCTGCCTTGTTCACAGTGACACTAACCTGCATTTGCTGGTGGCTTTGATTTGCAGTGCTGGCCAGGAGAGCTGTGCAGGAGTACATCATTACGTCCATCAAGGAGGTGCTGAGAATTCACTTCAACCGCGCCGTGGAGCTCAAGGTGGGTCCCTGAGGCTGGGGGTCTGACTCGGGAGCCCAGGTGAAGGCACAGTGTAGTGGAAGCCCTTCCTGACCCCGGACTGGGCCAGGTTTAGTCAGTCCAATCAGAGGGTTGTGTTGGCAGAGTTGGAACAAAGGGCCTCCAAGACCAGAGTTTGACCCTAATGATTGTGCTTGATTTACCTGAAAGAACTTGGAGTAGAGTTGAAACTGGATTTTAGAGAGAGTGCATATGCGTGTTTCTGCACATTCAGTGGGATAGAGATACATTTCCAGATGTTCTGTGGTGGGCACTGTGCTAGTGTCTCCTCTCCCCTGATGAGCTTGGAAGCCACGCTTAGACCCCTCACCTTCCCAGTGGGAGCCACAAGCCGCATGTGGCTATTGAGCCTGTGAAAAGGGGCTCATCTGAGTTGATGTGGTCTGTCAGTGCCAAATACACACTGGATTTTATAGGCTTAGTGAAAAAAAGGAATGTAAAGTATCTCACTAGTAATTTACATTGAAATGATAGGTATCTTGGGTTAAGTAAAATGTCTTTAAAATTAATTTCATGTTTCTTTTTATGTTATTGTTATTTTTTTAATGTGGCTTCTAGAAATTTTATAATTGCATGTGGGGCTCACATATTTCTTTTGGCCAACACCGCTCAATAGAATGACTATTTCTTTATATGTGGGTTAAACACAGCAAACACATTGAATTCTCCATAATTCCTTATTCAGCTCATGTTGGCTCTTCTTTCTCGCCATCCTTGCTCTTGTAATTCTGTGCTGTTTTCGAGGATAGCAGATGTGTAAAAGTAATGGCTAAAATAAAAATCTGGCTGTCTGTGAACCACTAGCCCTTCCTGTAAAACCAGCTATTTATTTTTTTTACCTTACTTTATTATTTTTCTACTCTATACAACTTCCTGTTCATTTCGTCGATGGTAATTCGATTCAGTAATTTGCTAATTATTATCTTTTGTCATTTTTTATTTTTATAGGTTTATGAACTGTTCGCTGACTTCACTTTCCTGGTAACATCTGGTCCTTTTGTTTACACGGCAATATCAGTCATAAATGTGCTTATAAATAGTAAACTTGTGCGTGACCAGACTCCTTTAATCCTGGCTGTGAAACCCTCCTTCCTGGTGCCGGAGTCCAGGTTCCAAGTTCAAACGGGTGAGAACACTGACCACACAGTTGTTCTGACTTGTAAATTGAATTTCGCTCTTTTTAAAATAATATATATATATTTTTTTAATTGGGGAAGATTTAAAAATATTTAAAATTTCAAAAACTTTATAATCAAGGAAAATGTCCAGCATATACAAAAGTACACAGAATAGTTTAATGAACCCCCTGTACCTATCACACGGTTTCAACAATTTTCAACTCCTTGTTACATCCATGCCCCATCCACATCCCCTCCTCTCACATTACTTTCTTTTTTGTTTGTTTTTTTTCCATTCAGTTTATTGGGGTGACGTTGGTTAATAAAATTACATAGGTTTCAAGGGTACAGTTCTATGATACATCATCCGTATATTGCATTGTGTGCCCCCCCCCAGTCAGGTCTCCTTCTGTCACCGTGTGTTTGACCCCCTCTACCCTCTACTACCCCCCACCCCCCTTCCCTCCGGTAACCAACATAGTTGTCTGTGCCTGTGAGATTTGTTTGATCTTGTTTGCTCATTTGTTGCTTTCAGTTTTATAACCATGAGTGAAATTCTGGTTCTTGACTTTTCCTGTCCGACTTATTTCTGAAATATTGACATTTGCGACAGCATGGATCGATCTCGCGAATATCTCACATTATTTTGCTATGATGTCTTATCATCTCATTCATAAGTATTTCAGCCTATGTCTCTAAAGATAAGGATTCTTAAACATATATAATACATGTGTGCGCATACACGCATATACATGTATCCATATCTGCATGCATGCATACATACATATCTGTCAATAATATAATCATCTCACCCCCTAAAATTCGCAGTAATTCTTTCTATCATATTTAAGTTTTTATTATGGGCATTTTCCAAACATACAAAAGCAGTGAGAGTAACATATAAGCCCACATGGGCCCGTCACTAAGCTTAAAACATTGTCAACATTTTCCCAATTCTGTTTGATCTATCCCCGCATGTTTTTTGAGGAAGCCAGAGTGTTTTAAAGCAATACCAGATGTCATGTCATTTCACCTATAAATACTCAAGAATTCATCTCTAATTCACATACATGTGAAATGTTTCAGTCAGTTAAGCATTTTCCCATTTAAAAATGATAACGTCGCTTTGGCACTGTTGGTTGATTTAGGTTCTGTTTCTCTGTCTCCTCACTCCTCTCTGCTAGAGAAACGAGAGCCTCATTCATGGGCCTGTGCTCGCTGTTTTCTTTCAGTCCTCCAGTTTGTGCCTCCGAGCGTGGATACTGGCTTCTGCAACTTCACCCAGCGCATCGAGAAAGGCCTGATGATAGCTCTCTCCGAAGTGAGGAAGCACCAGCAGGGCACCTATAACCTCACGGTGCAGGTGAGAAGAGCACCGAGTGCCTTTCCGGAGGAACTCGCTTCATAATGTCTCGTTGAAGGTGCACGTATGTGCTCTTGCTAATTCCCTTCAGTGGAGGAGGTTCTGTTCCTGTAGATCAGGGTTGATCTCTTTCCATGGCGTTTGGGTGGGGTAACCAGGGAGCTCAGATACGGTGAGCCGAGAGGAGCATATGCAGGAAATTCAAGAATGTTCTACAAAGGAACCTTATCAACTTATAGCATATCCAGTAGAGGGAGTGCCCTAAATACACTGTTGTTTCCTTTTATGGAATAGCAGAAAGGCAGTGCGTCCCTCTAAATCTGGGGAGTATAGCTACTAATCAAAGAACAGGCTGTGGATGTATTGTATGGAAACTGCTGCTGTTTTTATATTTCTTCAATATTTTTTCCTTCATATTTTTTGTTTTCTCTTTCTGGAATTCATAGTAAATAGATTTTGGTCCTCTTGGATTCACTTTTCATATTTCTTATTTTTTTTATATTTTTAATCTCTTACAAATCCCTGTTTTTACAGATTTTCTAAACTTTGTCATCCAAGTCATTAATTTACTCTTCAGCCGCATTTATTGTGTTACTCAGCCCCTCTATTGAATTTTCTTTAAGCCATCACTTTTTTCATTGTTCTCTGCTCTTTTTTTTATTGCAGCCTTTCTCTGCAATGATGCAGCATTATCTTGCATGAGGATGTGATATCACCTTGAAAGTCTCTGAGGACATTAGAGTTTTTTAGAAGTTGTCTTCTGTGTGCTAAGTTATCTCGATTTTCTCTGCAGCCACGGTGCTGTGTCAGTCTTGGTCCTTTGCTTTTGCGCTATTAGTTTTCCTCAGATTCCTGGAGACGGTTGGTGGGTTGGTGTTAGGAATGAAGGAGCAGGTGGTTGATTTTTGGAAGCTTGGTTGGCTTTCCCCTTCAGCTGTCGAGTCTGTTTCCACGTCAGCCCTGTGTCCTGATGGGAGATTCAGTGGAGCGCTGGGCACTGGGCAGACTGTGTCTGCGGTGAGCTGCTTTCTGGGGCTGTCAGAGACGGGCAGACAGGGACCCCTGCCCCCAGTGCAAGGTAGGGAGGTGGTACCCCAGGATGGGGCAAGTCAGTGTGTTTTTCATGGCAGAGCTGCTTTTTCTTTCATTGTCTCTCCTCCTCTGTCTCTTGTGAGCAGTCTCTACCCACCTCCTTGCTCAGGGATCTAACCTGGGGCAAAGTCTCTTGGTCTTCTCAGGCAGGAAGCTCACTGTCCTTAGGGAGCAGTACTTTGGGCTATTCTGGGTGGAGATGTGGCTGCTGTTGGCACCTCTGTGTTGGCCTGGGTGTGGCAGTTAGAAGGGAAAGAGGAGGGAGGAAATTGCCTGGGCTCTTTGGCACACAGCCTTTAATTAATTAGGGCAGCCGGCTCTTGGTTCCTGTGGATCCCGACTGTGGAGCCTGGGAGAACGGCTCTCAGCTCCACTGTGGCCTGTGCCTGTGTGTGTGTTGGGTCTTGGTCCCACCTTTCTGGTTTAAAACAACATGATTCCAACCTTTCCATTTTCCAGACATTTTAAAGGACCTCAGGTTTTTACCCTTTCTCAGCGCTGTTGTGCACGTATTCCTCTTTGCTCAGCTTTATTGCTCTTTCTGTGGGATCTGGAGGGGGAGGGGGAAGGGAGGGACACGACTCTAGATGCATGTGCTCAGTTCATCACTTAATGTAAAAAACATCTTCGGTATCCTGAGGATTTAAAGTGTTGCAGAAGGGAACCAGGTCATTAAAGCCCGTTTACTCTTCCTTTAAAAATGGTCCCTCTCTTTTTTTTTTAAATCCTCCCCCGAGGATATGTTTATTTATTTGAGGGAGAGAGAGAGAAACATCAGTGTGAGAGAGAAACATTGCTTGGGTGCCTCCTGTACACACCCTGACCGGGGGTCAAACCCGCAACCTAGGTATGTGCCCTGACTGGGAATAGAAGCTGTAACCTTTTTTTTTTTTAATTTACGGTTAATCCTCACCTGAGGATATTTTTTTCATTGCTTTTCAGAGAGAGTGGAAGGGAGGGGATGGAGGGAGAGAGAGACAGAGAAAGAGAGAGAGAGAAACATCGATGTGATAGAGACACATTGGCTGGTTGCCTCCTGCACTCGCCCCAACCAGNGGGATGGAGGGAGAGAGAGACAGAGAAAGAGAGAGAGAAACATCCATGTGATAGAGACACATTGGCTGGTTGCCTCCTGCACTCGCCCCAACCAGGGGTGGAGAGTGAACCCGCAACCGAGGTACATGCCCTTCACTAGGAATCGAACCTGTGACCGTTTGGTATGCCGGCTGACGTTCTAACCACTGAGCAACACCANGGGGTGGAGAGTGAACCTGTAACCGAGGTACATGCCCTTCACTAGGAATCGAACCTGTGACCGTTTGGTATGCCGGCTGACGTTCTAACCACTGAGCAACACCAGTGAGGGCTGAACCTGCAACCTTTCGGTGCACGGGGTGATGCTCCAACCAACTGAGCCACATGGCTGGGGCTAAAAATGTTCCCTCTTTTTGAATTTCGGTGAGAGAAACTGTGAGAGGGAAACCACAGTCAGGCTTTCAGCGGAACGTTTTCACTTGATTTAGAAGCTGACTCCGGCTTCCTCCTTTCAGATCTTGAATATCACCGTGGGCTCTCCGCGGGCGGCGCCCCGCCGGGGCCCCGTGAACATCGTCTTCGCCGTGAGAGGCGCGCAGGGGTTTTGGAACGGGACCCAAGTGAGCGAGCTGCTCAGGAACCTGAGCGAGGTGGAGTTCAGCTTCTACCTGGGCTACCCCGTGCTCCAGATCGCCGAACGTGAGTACCCCCCCCCCC